GCACATTGCATTGAAAATGACGGAGATTTTTGCATAATTTTGAAGTCTTAAACCGAAATCTCAAGTTTATTATTACAGATTCGGAATCTACGGCACAAAAATGTCACGTTTCGTCAGAAGTTTTCCTGTGGATTCTCGATAGATGGCGCTGTAATCTAAAAAAACGAATTATTATATTTTTGAAGAAATACACGGGTCAATATTATGAATCCGAGTTTTAGTGTTGGGAGACCTCCACTTAAATGCAGTTTTTCTCTACTCTAAAATACCCAATTATTTAGAATCATTTTAAAATTTATAAATGGTTGTCTAACGAGGTTTATAAAAGTGAGTGTTTTAAATCTATCGTAAATATTTGATCGCTCCTAACTCGTCACTAAAATAGCGGAAAAGCTCGAATTGTGCATAATTGTGTATTATAGAGGGGGTTATGCAACAAAAACCTCTATAAGAAAAAATGTCCTCTCCCCACACGAGTTGGTTAGGGTGAGAAGTAACGTTTGGTGTTATTAAACAGTTCTTTTAGTCAATATTTGAAGGCCTTTTCTTTGTTTTTTTGATTAATTCTCAGGATATATTATAATATATTCCTTATGTAAAAATGGAGAACCATTTCTCCACAAATTTTTGCACTAAGTATTATTTATTTTGACAAACTTGAAATGGTTGAAAGAATTGTTGACAATAAGGAATCTAATTGGTAATTATAAGAATAATCGGTGAACGGTACTGCTTTTTTGTATATTTACCACAACAAACATTCATTAATAACGCCTCTAGTTTCAAATCTCGTTATCAACCAATAACACCTAGGGGCGTTTGACAACCAAAATTCGTCAAGTCGACCGTTTTCAGTTTGGCTACATTATTTTCGGCAGTATTTTCTCAACTTTCGCTTAGATCACCTTTAATTTTCAGGGAAAAAACGAAGTAAGCATGTAGAGGACTTTGTTTCGAAAGATAATATCACAAACTACAAGTAGAGTAGCTATTCATGAAAAAAAGACAAAATTTCATACCCCCGGAAGATTTGAAGGCATGTATTACTTAAAAATTTATCTGGAAACCAAAGTTTTCCCATTTCCAGTGAACGGCGGCACAATTATCACCGATTCTTTTAATATATTATCCTATGGTTTTGATCAAAAAAGTTTTAACCTATCCTTTTAAATAGAATTGCAATGGACAATACTGATCCATTAACTAGTGCTCCAATGAAATTACGCATTAGTTTGAATAAGCACACTTCTTTGGGCATTGGTTAACGTCCTTCATTAATATTCAGATGTTTAGCGAGATAATTTAGTAGTAAAAATAAGCGCCAAAGACAAAAAAAAACAAATTTGTAGGTAATCTTGTCGTATTTCCCTATTTCTGTCATTAATAACTAATAGAACAGGTTTTTCCCTCGGAAGGAAGAATTTCGCTGTTTTTTTTTAATATGTCTTTTTTTTTCATTTTAGGGAAACACAACCACTTTTGTCCAAAAGATTTCTAATTCCTATAACTCAACAATAATAATAATGTACAAAACAATACGCATACCATACTGAAAATGGCATTTGGTATAATTTGAGCTCAATCGAACCAAGATGATTATCTTAAAAAAATATTTTGTGTCGTTTTTACAAAAAAACACGATTGGCAGATTAGGGCTTGTGTGTTTGTAATTCCTGAAAGGCGTAGGCATAATAGATGGGCGCCAAATTCGTCAAGTACAACAAAAATTACAGAAAATTTGTTAGAAAAGGTTACAAGTTATATATCACGGGATATTCAACCACATAGAACATTTGTGGCACACAGTAAAATGAAAAGGACAGAAAACATTACTCCTACTTGCGAGTGTGATTAGTATAAACAAGCATGGCTAAGAGAAAAATGTGAGGAAATAAAGGAGTTGCAGTCCACAGGAAAGTTAGAGGAAGAGTTACCAGGAAAGTCAAGAGACAACACATTACATCAATAGTTGATAACAATAACAGACACATCTTGAATCCCGATGAACTTAAAAAACACTGGGAAAACTATATACAGAAATTCTTCGCTAGTGTAAATGCAATGGACTGGAATATAACCAGAAAACTAGAGACAGCACCAGAAATACTCGAAGAAGTAACGCGAGGGTAAAGTAGGTAAAATTGCAGGTCCGGATAAAATTCACATAAGAAATTGTTGGATGAAACAAATATCACTCACTCTTGTGAAACTTTTTAATAAAATTTATAAAAAAAAAACCGAATATATAAAGGCAAACAGAAAAGCTTTGTGTATCACGAGCAGTTCTATTCCAGAAACGTAGAGATGGTCAGGAAAAGCTTCATAGATTATGAAAAAAAATTTTACAGGATCAAGCGTCTACAGCTTATAAAAATATTAGAAAGAAGAGGACTGGACCAGCAAGAAATTCAAATAATTAAAAATATGTACTGTCATCAGCAAGCTATTGTAAAGTTCCTCATAAAAGTTGATAAGATGGAAGTAATGATTATAAATAAATAACGGGAACTTCCACCAAGGATAATAATGAACGGTAAAAACATTGAAGTTGTTGGAAATTTTCAGTATTTTGGAACATGGATAATTTTCAACTTAGACCCTGACCTAGAGATAAGAGCTAGGATAGAAAAAGCAAGAGCACCAATATGGATGCTTAAGATTAATACGAAAACAGTCCTGGCTTAAGAATATCCGAAACTGGACTAGCTCACACCCTGGTCCAAGCTGCTAAGGACCAAATGGGATTTGCCAAGTTGTATCCGACATTCACTAAATAAATACGGTACCTTGAGAAGAAGAAATAATAAATTTATCAAAATAAATAAGAACTAAAAGTTCAGATTTTCACGAAATTATATATTATGACATGACAATTGTTTCGACAACACCGTGTCTTTATCAAATGTCGAAGCAATTGTCATGTCATAATATATAATTTCGTGAAAATCTGAACTTTTAGTTCTTATTTATTTTGATAAATGGATGTTCATCAAGTAAAAGCCACCTCAGTTCAATAATAAATTTAATTTTAAATGCAATTATTAACATTTCTAATGAATGCAGCAAAATACTACAGCACAGATACTAGGATCTCGGAAACCGTAAGAGACACGAAGTCGGTTAATTAGCGGAATAGTTGGTTATTTTGGTGCTCAACTTAAAGCTGTTTAAAATCAGAAAATCTTGATTAGTTTCGGAGATATCAGGGAAAAACCGGAAATCAGAAATTTCATTAAAAATTTTTCCTGACCTTAAAAATAGGAGAACCAATGATATTATCCCATTGCAACTTTTCCTCCCCTACAAACTGACATTATTAAAGTTTCGTTTCCGTTTTGTCTGCCCATCATCAACTTCATTTGCATTTGAGCTCGTCATTCTGAAACAAACACATGTATCACACTTGACTTACTAAATAATAACGATCCCAAATTAACAATAAAGCCAAATTTACACCCAAAATAAGGTGGCCATGAAACAAATGTCAAATCGTCTTTAAATATTAGAGTTTTAATTATTTTTTTAATATGTAACAAATTAAAACTGAATATACCAAAATATTTTATTATTCATTAAATTAATATTGAAAAAAAGTTTATTTTATATCTTAAAGTGAGTAATAATATAGCTGCTTCAATGCATTTTGAGATTAGCATTTGCAATTTTAATTATGCACATTGAATGAGACTAAAGCTCTGATTTTTCTGTCTGAATGAACGATATTTGAAATATCTCCATAAAAAGTAATCCAGTGGATTTACATCTGGACTTCTGGCAGGCCATCGTGTTCATGATTTTCTATTCCCTTGTTCGGAAATAATGTATTTAATGAAAACGGACCTACTTATGTAATTATCGACAGTTAAATAAAATTAAAAGTAATTAATTAAATTATACATAGAGTTTTTCGAACGGATCAAATGAAAGCATCCCCATGCGACGGGGACTCACAACCGACCCAAATCGGTGAGTCTCGTGACACGAAGCAGGCCTTTTACCGAAAATTACACCACTATTGATAAAACTTGGAAAATGTTACGTAAAATCGGGACAGGCCCATAAAAAAAGTGCGATCAAAAAATTCCTTTAGAGGTTCACCCGAATTGCTGGGTCTTACGGCGAACGGATGTCGTAAAAGCTCTCTTACTCACGTCTCAGGACTACCGCAAAGTTTTTTTTTAGATAAAAAACATATTACCTACATTAGATACTGTGACACACAAGAAGTGGGGATTTTAAAATAGGTCTTTCTTGGTATTTTTCGATAAGGTGCTTGGTTTTTTTATATAAATTTAGCGGTATCGCATCGGAAATCAAATCGAAGCAATTATATTCGACGCGCAATATCGATTTGCCAGTTGTGGGTGTTCGGATAACATGTCTTCTGGAATGAAGTTTTTGGTTGTCGTTGCCGTTTCGGTTATGCTAGGTAAGGAAATGCCTTTCGTGTATGGATTTATTCATTGATTAAGTGATTTTTCTACGTTTTAATATTACTTGTTGCCGTTTCCGGGATACGATGATATTACGAACAGTTTAACATGATTTATGAATTTATAATGTTATAAAAAAATTTACGATTTTAATTTGTTTTTTTTACTCCCGTCTGCAAAATACCTAATCAGATGTGTTCGTAGATATTTCCCACGCTTTCAATTTTGAGGTTTGTCAGTGTCATGTATCATGTCAGTGATTGTATTCTTGTTGTTTTGCGAAAATGTACCCAAAAACTAACGTTCGTAGAAAAAGTATAGTATGCAATACGTTCGGTAAACTTTTTAACTGCCGTTTACCGCACTTGTTGCATAATATATTATTTCGTCATACAAAAAACGGACGATTTTTTTCAATAAACTTTAAAAACTCCTTCAATATTTTTTAACATCGAAATCTAATCTCATAATTTCCAAGGGACTTCCCGGGCCAAAATCTTATCTTGCTTTTCGGTGCGTTCAGTTTACCGGCACGAGTCTATCTGTACTAATAGTGTAAGACACGGCTTTGATAATAGTTCGGACATCTTAAAAATGCTAATCAATGATTCGCCTATATGAATAGGTCAAAAACGCTTCATAAATTACCGTAAGTAGCCCCTAGTTTTTTTTTCTAATTATAACTTTTATATAATTATATTATAAGCCGGGAACACTCTAGTAATTGCTTTGATTATTAAAATATTTTTGAAAATTGTTAAATAATACCCTAAAACTTATTGGCCACACTATTTCTTTAATTTAACGTATTAAGTACAGGGGGGTTCATTTAAGATACTCCTGTACCTTATCTTGTGCGAGGACAATAAATAACTGTATTTCTTAAAGATATATGAATATTTTAAACAATTCTAATTATTCGTTTGATTTTGAGTATTTTTATCATTAAATAGCATTACAAATTTTGAGTAGTTTTTGAGAAAAATTGACTTTTCCATTTTTTGGTGAAAATGTGATTTTTTTATGGATGTATGGATGGAATTTTTATTATGGATCCATAGAAGTGGTTAATATTTAACGCATTATATTATACAGAGGAGTCGCAAATGACAATAAAAAATTTTTTTCCATTCATTTCCATTTCTTTTTAAATGGAACGTCCTATATTTACCACTTTTATTGCATCTGGGATATATTTTGATATGATTTCATTTATATAGCTTTTATTACAAAAATTTGTAGTTCAGAACTTATGACCAATTTTCTGCAGCAACTCGCGTATTTTATTTTAAATCTAACTAAAGCTATATAACATCCTCTTCTAATTAAGTTTTTTATTAAAAATTAATTACTTAAATTCAAGATAAAATTACTTACTACTAATTCGTACTGCACTAAGTTTTTTTGAACATTGTTTGTTTATTATGTTAAATGTTTTATTGAAAGTAATATTTTTTAAACATGGTGATTTCTTATCGTCATTTGTTTTTATAGACTGGACAGATAGATTAAGGGGTAAACTCAATTTTATGCATTTGAATTTTACGGCTTTGTATTACGATGCTACCAAATTTCCGTAATTTTTTTTTCACTAACCCGTGACAAAAGAATCAGAGACGGATTGGCTCACCTCATTGTCTAATAACGCTGACGTTTTAAAATGACACCTTGGGTACTCTTGTGCATAATTCGGTATTTGAGACAAGTGGAGGATAAAAAGTTGTCCCAATATTTTTGACATTCAATACAATAGCAATTTACGGTGTAGAGCAAATACCCTCTACATTTTCGAGAAAACATCCCTAGGAAGATTTAAATTTTTCACAACTCAAATTAATTTAATGGCTTCGAATTTGAGAAAGAATCTTACTTCCTAACGATTTAGTAGCGATTTAAAATTAATTTAGATCTTATTAACAATAACATAAAAATAAAGACAAGAAGGTTGGACAGTTTTGACGAAATATTCTATTTGGTATTGGCACTATTTTGCAAAAATTTATTAACAATTAACACTTTACAAATGAACAAAATCAAAGTTTCACAATAAATTGCATTAATACCAGTTGCCCATGAAAATACTTGAAATATTAGCCAACAATTATTGAATACTTGGCGTTTAGTTTAGATTTTAAATTTGATGTAAATTTATTTAGTTTAATTAAAATTTATTGAAAAAAATATGCGCATTAAAAGTAAATGTATCAATTTTTTACCATTTTCTTTTTTAAATGCATTAATTTTTTAAAACTGCAATATTTAAAGATATTTGTCACAGTAATATTTTCCTTATTTAAGAATCTTTTTTCATATCAACATCGGTCCGGAAATGGATATAGCTTTCAAGATATTTAGTAATTTTTTTATTGAAAAAATTTGCCAAATATTGTCTAGTTACTGGATGTAATCACTAATTGCATCACTGCAAAAAACTGCCACCTTGAATTAATTTTTTACCCAGAAAGTTGGTATTTCTTAATTATAACTTAGTTTTTTTAAAGAAAGTTTTTTTACATTTGCACAACATAATTCCATTATATTCGTAGCCTCTCCTAAAAGAAGAAGTATGATATTTAGGAATTGAAAACGTTTTAATCAATCATTTCTTAAATTATGATGTCAACGGTTCTGATGACGTGACTGAAACTTCACTTTGAGAGGGGAAGCCGATGAGTAAAATTTGTCATATCGAGTGTCTTACGCGATTCCATTTTTAACCAAAGATTGAAAGCAAGTTTACTACAACAGCTCGCAATCGCAATCGCAATAGTCAAGATAGATAGATTTCGCATTAGAATTATATTGAGACAATGTTTGCTAAAAGTTTTAGGTTGATATAGGCTCTTTGAATTAGTTTTTTAACGTCCTCACGAAACTTGGGCCCCATGTCTAAGATTATTGCAAGATTTCTAGTAGAATCAACAATATTTAGCGAAATATTATCAATTTTCCTATGATACTCTACACACACTCTCCAATTCATTGTTAATTGTTGTTTCAGTATACTTGGCATTATTGACATCAAAATGACCATGGAGCTACTCATCATCAGTGTAGCCCTGAGCACTGCAGCCAACTGTAAATTTTAAAATGTTAATGGTTTAAATATAAAAAATGCAGGAGTCCCAAAACGTTACCCTGTGGAAACCAGACAATATACCCTTCGGGTTAATTAGGATGCGATAAATTTTTTTTCGCGAAAACAAAACAAGACGCGAAAAAATTCATTTTCATTTTTATTTCCATAATTGAATAAAATAAAATTCATTAAAAAGTCAGTGGCGCACTTTTTTTTTTGTAAAAAATATTCGGAACGGCACTGCACCTCACAATTTTAATTTAATCAACAGGAACCAACTCTACCAAATTTCAACAGTCGTTCAATAGGTATTTAAAATATTTATTCAACACCCATTTTTTTAAGTCTTACATCCTGTATCTTGTAAACAATGCATTTTGGACCCATATTCATATACATTTTTTTATTTTATCATGTTTTAAATTATTCGCATATTATTTGTCACAGCAAACAAACAAAATCGTTCCAGATATATTTACAATATTTTTCTACTCCCGCCTATAAAATACCTAATTACACACTGATCTAGCGTGCGGGAAACGTCACTTTAAAACGTCAGTTTCGTTTCCCACGGATCAGAGCCACTTCGGACATTTCCGGGATTTTACCGCACGGGTTTGGGAGCGATCGGATGTTTTCGGAGATATTTCCCACGTCTTCAGTAAATGTATTCGTGTTGTTTTGAGACAATGTACCCAAACACTAACCGTCGTAGAAAAACTATGGTGTGTGGAACATGTTCCGTAAACTATTTTAAATCACACGTTTATGAAACGCTCGTTCCACTTGTGTCAAATAAACTCATCAGTCAAACGCCGTTTACCGCACTTGTTGCATATTATACTATTATGGTTAGTTAAAAAGATGCTATTATGCTAGACCTTTTTTTTAAGTTTGACACCCTGTGTCTTGTAAACAATACATTTTTTGCATTATTTGCACGTTACTTGTCACAGACAGAAACTTACCAAATTTCAACAAAATTGTTCAGCAGATATTTAAAATATTTATTCAACACTCAATTTTTTAAAGTTTGACACTCTGTATCTCGTAAAAAATTCTTTTTCGGACCCATGGTCATATTATTTTATTTCAACATGTTTTAATTCATTGGAACGTTATTGTCAGACTCCCTGTATAATGTAATAATATAATATATTATTTTAGTTCAAATAATAAAGTCTACTGAAAGAATATGCCTAGACTATTGCTTGGACGATTGGAGGGGAGAATGCAGACGCTCCGACCCTACCACCTACAGTCAACACCACGGACAATTTTGCTTCTATGTATATGTTGAGAATTCTACTATCGTTCCCTCGTCGAAGCAAAGAAAAATCAACAGGTTTTTCGAAGAAGCGCTTCATATTCTTGTCGAAAGCGAAGAGCCAGCGCGCCACCACCAAAATCATTCCAGGAAGCGGCGTACCCGTCTGATTTAAACTTTTTTTTTGAAGTGTCTCTAACGCGAAATTTCCGGTACGCCCGACGCTGAATCCTAGACGGGAGTTTTAATATTGTGATAAATGCAGCTTTAATTATCGGTTTAATTACTATGTCTTAAATAAATTAACTTGAATATAAAAGCGTTTTTATGTTTACTTAGTAAGCCCAAGAAAAAAAAATAGCGGTGGCAAGTGGCACATTTTCGAAAATAAATATCGATCACTCCAAAACGGCTTATAAAGGCTTAAGAAAGACTTTTCTTAAGCTACGAGTAACGCCATTTTTGTGATTTATATAATTGAAAAAAAAATAGGTGGTCAAATAAGAGCCCAAAAACAATTTATAATTAATTTCAAATACACAGGGCGATTCATAAATATGTGGGAAATCAAACTTATATCATGGCATTAGTAGATACTCCCTTTTAAACTCAATCACCCAATGTCAAGTTGTTATGGTATATTCCGAGCTTTTTCAGTTTAATGGCCAGTTTTCCCCCTGTGTTTAATACCCTATATTTTTGACGCAGTTTTCGACAGCTTTAAACTTATCCTATACTTGCCTTGAAGTTAGCTAGAATCGTTTATACTGGGTGAGTCGGAATAAACAATAATAATTTTCGCGGAAAAAACCAAATTGAACGCCCTGTATATAATCCTTCCAGCCCAGAAAGATTTTGTGATTTGGTATTTTTCATATTTGTGGAGTTATAGGGAAAAAACTAATAGAGAAACAATGTTGTTTTGTTTCTATCACGCAACATTTTTGAATTAAAGTTTGAGATGTCATATTTATTGTTTTGAAAATAGGAGCATTACATTACATTCCAAAAATCTAAATTGCTGCGCCATTGGCATAAACTTTGCATAAATGAACAAAATATTAGCTGGGAATCCCTTAAAGTAAAATTTTTAATTGCGCTTGTTGTGGGCAGTCGTTTCATGAGGGTGGTGAGACTTGTGCATTTAAATTTCTTTTTAAAATGCTAAGACTGCGAAAATATTCCAGATACGTTTGGCTATGTGGGTGGTTCTTTTGCGCTCAAGAAATTTGGACGTAAAACTACGCACAATACTACCTTTATTTTAAAGTAGAAATTGGTGATCAAGACAACCCTTGGGCGCCAGACATTGTTTGTAAAGTATGTGAAAAAGATGAAGGACATTGGAATAATGAAACTAGGCGATTCCTACCTTTTGAAATACCTATAATATGGAGAGAGCCAACAAATCACCATGATGTCTGCAATTAGGCCAGAGCCATATGACCCAGATGTCTCAATACCTGAGAACTCAACCAATTTAAAAGAAGATACCACCAGTTTTTCAAAACCTGGAATAGATGTACCCTTAGTGATATTGGTGATATATGGAGTGTTTCTCAGCAACCACAGTTATTTTCACAATCAATTTAACTAAGAAAAAATATAAATAATTAAAATAAACATTTACTGGCACAGGACGTTAAAATCTCAAGTTTCACTAAGCGCAAGATAGAATTTATAGGCTAAGTGTTTATTACACCGATATTCCTAATCTAATACTTGGTACCGACTACAATTCTAAGGACTGGAGGCTGATGGTAAATGTTCTCGCTTCTGTACCTGTTGCTCATTCTGGGCAAATGACAGGATGATACGAAAATCTGAAACTACTGCCTGAAAAAATCAAACACAAGGTTCGATGATTTGTCGTGACTTCAAAATTGTGGGACTTCTACTACGTCAGCGTCAGGATATACGAAGTACCCTTGTTTTTTGTATGAGTGGGACAGTAGAAACACACGGCAACAATGAGTGGAAAAGAACTGACCAAAAAGGGTTAATTTAACTCTCGGATCAAAAGAAATTATTCACGATAGTCATAGATATTGATCCACGAAAAATTCTATTACCAACGTTACATATTAAAATATTACGTTAAAGCTTTAAATAAAGATAAAGCGATTAATAGATCAAAACGAAGTTTTTCGGCCAAGAGGGAGAGATCTTCCAAAAATAAATGTACACAAACATTGTTTGAGACTTTGTTATTTAATTTCGATTTTTTAATTCGGTTTTTGTTCCTGTACTAATTAAAATAATATTTAAATCAATAAACCGAGATTGTTTAATGTTGAAAAAAAAACTTAACCTAATTTATTGAATCCTAGATTTAAACAAGAATAAAATAATGAACTGCGCAACTTTTGGAAAAGCAATGTATACAATATTCAAAATGTAAATATTAATATTGCCAATTGTTCCAGAAAAAACACACAAAAACTAAGAACAAAACTACGAAATAAGAAATATTTGTTTAATTAAGTTTCACTTTATTTATTGTTCGAAATGTCTCCCACCTACTTCGACACACGTTCTAACACGGTGTTTAAACATAATTACACTCTCTTTCATATTCTCTTTTGTGGTGGGGACAATTCTATATACCTGCTCTTTAGTACATTTCCACCGTTGAGGAAATAAATTGTTTAAGTAGTTGTTGGACATGGTATGCAGGAGCTCCATCATGAAGGAACTACATTCTGTGTGTGTAATACTTCTTAACATATTTTGCAACCTCTGCTCTAGAAAGTCTAAGTAAACTTGCCCATTCAGTATATACCACCCCAAACATTTATATCACTTTTCCTGGCTGTGTGTCACCATAAAATGTGGTCTATTTTTAGCACAATAGTGAAAATTATGGCTCTTAACACAACCATTTCCAAAATCACCTTGCTAAAATATTCTTTGTGTCCATTAATGTTCATTGAGTTTTTAATGAGTTGGTATATGATAAAAATGCATAGTATCTTAAATTATTAAATCTTGGGACATTTGTCGCATAGGCGCCATCTGAAAACATTATCTTGTAGTACAATAATATTCTGAGTTTTGTTCGTGTGAATACCTTGAGAAATACTAAGCTTAAGTACAGGGAATGCTTAATAAAAGTGAAAGGACGTTAATGGGAGTAATTGACTATAATATACAGGGTGTTCCAATTAATTTTTTATCGACAGTTAACATTTTTCATTTTGATTCCTGTATAAACGAAACGAAACTAACGAACTATTCAAAACTAACTTCAAGGCCAGTATAGGATAAATGACTGCACTACTTATTCTTTCAAAGAAACTTCCACACGCTACTGTAATACTATTTACAAATCTTGTAATGTTGTTGTAAACGAAGCCATCTTAAACGGTTAATGAAATTAATTAATTAATTGAAACCGTAATGCTATAAATCTATCCCCGACATTGAAATTCTAAAAGCAGATAAAGGAAAAAGGAAAAAGGAAGGTGGTCATGAACAGGGGAATAATTCAAAATATTCTTGCAGACGGTTCCAATCTTGCATTTAAAAATGATACTATATCATCTATGAAGCGCAAGCTTGTCTCTCCTATTCAGACTCCTTTTTTATCAAAATCCGCGAAAAAAATCTGTCACTCCTCATAACTCTAGAATTCCTCTTATCTGAGGCCTCTCTAAGATCCACAAACGAGAATTATCCCTTCGACCTATTTTCAGCACCAGCCAGCTTCTATTTTAAAACCCTTTACAGGGAAAATTGATAGTTAACAACAATTAAATTCTGGTAGAAAAAGTCCCTATTCCTGAAATTCTCAACATTATTTCAGATTATTGATACTTTTGTTATTGGGTCTGATGATCAAGAATCCTCCCAAGATTTTTTTAGCACAAGGTTTATACACCTTAACGTATGTATATGTACATGCATTAATTTAGAAATTATAAATAATCTTCCATTCTTAGATATTCTTATCAATAGAAAATCATACTTAATATTGGGTCCTTCTGTTTACAGAAAACCTACACACACAGAGAACGATACCTTAATGCATTGTCACGTCACCCAAAAATCATCGGGTATCAACTCTCTTATTTACAGAATCGTAAAACTCAACCAGAGTCACTGAACACAGAAATAAATGACTTCAGATCTGCTCTTCTCTCTAATAATTTTCAAATTAGAGATATTAGGCGTTCCATCACAAAGTACACTTCACCACAACCTTCCAAAGACAATGAGTTCGAAAGCAACTCCACACTTGCCTCTATTGTCTTTCCTTACATTCAAAACCTCACTGACGACATATCAAAAGTTCTTAAGAAATATAACCTTAAAACCCGATTTTCAATGAACATACGGCAAAGAAAACATTGGAGAGACCGGACGGAAACTATCAGCTAGGCTCAAAGGACATGAAAGGGCCTTAAGACAAATAAACTCATCAGCAGTCGCCGACCACAATCATGAAACTAAAGAAAAATCCGAGACTCCATAGAAATCTATAAGCAACCAAACGATCTTAAACGCGTCTCAGTTCTTTACCTCTCGCCTATATCAGTTATGCGAGACAATGTTCATGCCCCTTTAGCTTCGTCCCCTCAAACAATAGATAAGCAGTTACAGAGAGGAATGCGAGTCAATTTCGGTAGAGCTCTGAAGAAGCCAACAGGATGATTGGATTTGATAACATATCGGCGCTGGAGGAATTCAGAAGATTCTTAAAGAGGATCCCATAATTTATTTTCAAATTGCTTACCTCTCTCATCTCACGTAATAATCTTAACTTCCAAAAATCTCTGTGTAAATATGCTTTTCGACTCTCTAGGAAAGAAAAGTACATCAAATCACCAAATCTGTAACTTCCGTTACTATCCAAATTGAAATATTAATTTATATGTGACGATAAATTGGTTTAACAAGCCCTTTCATTTTTAATAGGAAGTCGGCAGCCGCTCAGAATTAATAATATTGCATATGTTGTTAATTCTAATATAAAGGAACTCCCTCGAACTTTGAACAGGGGACGTTAAAAAATCGAATGTGGTAATACCAATTGCTACTAATAACATGGAATCAAAAGATTTTATAAAGTACTAGAAAGTTTCCTGATTTGAATAGAATATATTCCATTATTTTGTTTGCAGTTTATGAAAGGAGTACACCACTGTGTTATTTATATATTTTTATATATTTCATATATTTTCAGATTAGCCGGAACTCTTTGTTTGTGACGCTTCTATTGCTTTTTGGATTTTCGATTGAAAGCTTCGGAGATTTTTTT